GTTATGTCTGCATCCTTTAGGCTATAAATTTACACAGAATTACCATTTTTTATGCTGAATATAACTATTCTTTTTATTTTGATTCCGTTGACGGCAATTTTCACTATCTTAATCGCTTATTTTCCTACGAATTTTTAACAAAAACTGAAATACAAGCAAAAACTAAATAAAAAAATAATTTTTTAATATGTTAATCAACGATAGAGCTGACGCTTGTAGCGCGCCAAGAATATTTTTTCCGTATTCCTGAGAAAATTTTGAAGGAGTAAGCAAATTTTCAGCAAAGAGTCTAAAGTTGTCACTAGAATTAATTAGTTTTAGGCTGTGGGCACCGAACTAAATATGATAACTCTAGAAACTCACATTTTCAAACTTATTTGGTTATATTATGATTATTAATTGAAAAAATTTTATATTACATTATAACTATCCATTCTTTTTAACTATGTACATTTATATTACCTGAGTTTTAACTAGAAACATTTTCATCAAAAAAAGGTGCAACTTCGCATTAAATACAATGTTTTATAGTGCGTAACTATCCAATGAATGGAACCAATATGGCAGACGAGTATACCTCCTTCTTATAGAGCTCTATAAAAAGGGACGGGTAATGTTTTTGAGAGGTAGAACCAGACCACGTTTTGCCACTGGGCAACTCAAAGTCAAGGTTCATGTCAATCCAAATTATCTCTGCTTTTTTTTAATTTAATGCACATTCCTATTTACCAATTTTTTTACGCTCCATTTGCTTCAGGTTAAGTTTTTGCTCCTATCTGTATGTCTTTGTAGTTAAAATCTATCAGTTTACTGTACCAATAATTCATTTTCAATGTGAATTATGTTTTAATGTTATTTTAGTTCTACTCTATTTCAACTAATGTGTATTTAATTCTAACGTTATAATTACTCCAACCATTTTCCAACAATAAACATTTGTATGACGCGTGTTTAACATGCTGCATAATTTAGAAATAGATGCCAAATTAAATATTCTTCAATCTTTAAACTCATTGTGAAATAGAATTAAATAGTAATTCACCGCTTTTAAACTTATTAAAGTTTCACCTCTACTCCTATTGCCGACATACCTACACTGTGCGTTTTCAGGGCAGCGTTTCAGTGAAACAGGTTCCACCAAGCTTCTCCACTGTAAAAAATGTATAGTCGGGATGCTGTATCGATCTGTTTCTCTTAACTATACAATTTCAGAAGTACAGTGGAGACGCTAGTGGAACCGATCTTCCTAAAACTAACTTGCAGTAAACACAACTGCACAGTATAGACTGGCAGTTATGTTTAGCTTTTACATATAAGTGACCATCTACACAAAACAGTCATTAGTGTAAAACTCAACCAAAGAAGTGAAGCTCAACTAAACTTCACAAAGATAAAGTGTGTCATTTTTAAATAGTTTGAGAAGTTTATCGAAACAAATTAGATAAATAACTATATTAATTTAACCTTAGGTAATTACCTGCTACGGAGGATTGAAAATTCTTGTNTGACCTTTTCTGTGGTCCATTACTCGCGGCACAGGTGGTACACTTCTTACACTAATTCTTGACATCTTCCTCACAGTTCACCCAATAAAATCGCTCTCGAACTTTCCCAAGCGTTTTACTCCAAAATGACCACCAGATGATCCATCATGAAGTTACTGGAACACCTCTCTAACCTTGTTTGGAGGAATAACCAGTTGCTTCCTATTTTCCCCTCCATCGGGACTTTTAGCAACACGCTTCAGGATGCCATCCTCCAAAATCATTGAGTCCCACTGAGCCCATAACAATTTTAGTACTTGGATACGGGAAGAAATTTGCTGCCACGTTGGTCGTTTTCCCTCTCTTTTCCATTCCAACACCTTCTGCAAGTCCGGGTCGTTTTCCTGGTCGTGTTTTATATTTTCAGGTAACCACTCGTCATCGATTACCGTGACGCGTCGAATTGTTTCTTCATTCTTTTCCATTCGATTACACTGCTTGCAGTCTGTTTGACAAGATCTTCTGGAAAGTGCATCAGCATTTTTGTGTCCAGTTCCAGGTCGATACTCTACGTCAAAATCATATTCCTCCTGTTGACGTCGAGTACTTGGGGAAGGAGTACTTTTCCTACACTGCCTCCTCATATGACCTAGTTCGCCTCAATTCCAACATCTTAGCTTTCGAGTTTCTTTATCGAACTTAGAGATGATTCGGCAGACGGTTTCCTCTAAAGATTCTGACGAATCCGTTTCTTTACGCAGTAGCCGAACCCTTCCCTGCTTTCTATAGGCCCGTTTAACAGTTTCGTACTGCAATGCACGAGCCAATGCATCAGCTAGCGTCTTAAGTCGGTCAAGGCGTATTCGTTGTTGAGTGTCAGTGTCCCGAAGTCCATCAGTATAGGCCAGTCGAGACAGTCTCGCAATATCGGCCTCGAATTCTTGTAGGTATTTCCTTGGTTTCTGCTGACACCTTTTCGGTTGGATGTGATACACCGCTGTTAAATGAGCCTCGCCGTAGCGCAACTCTAGCCGTTTTACCAACAGTGACAGCGACTCTTGCTTAAACCATCCTTTCTGACCTGCCACAAATTCAGGATATCGATTGGCATCCTCTTAAGGTAGTGAGATCAGGGTGACGAACGCATTTCAATTCTCAATTGCATTTGGGACATTTTTGTACTTGTCGATACATCGCTCTTGTCTATTGCCTACTCTGCACGTGTTGCTACTAATTTCTCTTCAAAATTCGAAGTAATAAACTTTTGAGTAAACCATCGAACATTATCGTACTCGCTCACTAACATAATTGTTGTTGTATGTTATATTACGTTAGATCCAACGAAATAAATAGTTTAATTAGGCTGCAAGAATCCCTAACAAGTCCATATATCATTGGAAAGCTCTAGAATAAAGAAGAACGAATCCGACTTAATCAAAGACATCTATGAGAAGTTTCTACTGATCGTGTCTTACTACGCCCCCCCCCCCTGAAAAATGTACATCGTTGGATAGCTCCATAAGAGAGAAGAACGAATTTGACGTCAACAACGAATTTCATCGAAACTTCTGGAAGTTTTCACGTATCTCGAGTAACCCTAATAAGTCATTCACCTTTAGAAAACTCGCCAAGAAAAAAGAACGATTTTACCAAAATCAAAATATTTCATACCTGTTACAGTCAGAGGTACCGAAGCAAAAATCTATGAACAGATAAGGGCTTTGATAACAGAAATGAACAGAGAAATCGGGACAAGAAAAAATGAAACACGGACAAGAAAAAATGAAACTGGGGCAAGGAAAAATGAAACCGAAAATTGAAGCAGTACTGGATGGCATGAAAATAGAACAAGCAAAATTAACATCTCAAAAAAAATTGAAAGAAGAATCGAATGCAGCTCAAGAAGAAACGAAAGAGGAATTAAAACCAGTTCAAGAAGAAACCAAAAAAGAAACAGATGAATGAAGAGTTGAAAGCAGCTCGAGAAGAAATGAAACAGAAAATGGAAGGGTGAGAAGAAGTTATAAACATAAGAATGGAGGACAAGACAGACGACATTAAAAATGAAATGGAAAAGAATACAGAAGACGGGAAAAACAATACGGAAAAGAAAACAGAGAAAATGAAAATCAAGGTGGAACAGATTATAGAATAAAGAGAAATCAAGATCGAAAAGAAGAAAGAAGAAATGAAAATTAAGATGAAAAAGAAGATAGAAGAAATGAGAGAAGAAATTAGAAAGCTAGAACTACCAACCACTACGAAACTTGAAGATTGCGGTACAAGACTAGCAAAAATTACACCTCCAGCTTTCGATGAGATTTCGTTTTCCGTTTACCGAAAACAGTTTGGAGCAGCGACAGAAACAAACACATGAACTGATTCGGAAAAAGCAACAGCATTAATAATACCTTTGCGAGGGGTAACACTGGACATACTCCAAGGAATGCCCGAGTCTCAACAATATGATTTCCATCATCTCGTCAACCGCCTAGAAATGAGGTACGGCGACAAACATCTACCACAAGTACATCAGACGTAATTGAAAATCCGTAACCAACGAAGTAACGAGACTCATGAACAATTTGAGTCCGATGTGAAGCACCTCGTAAGATTAGTTGCCCCTCAAGAGTTTATAGACTAACCAACTGTATAAACATTCATCGATGGGCTCAAGGATGGTGAACTACAGCAAGTCCTTAGACTAACACGTCACAAGATTCCAAGTGAGGCGCTCTCACACAACCTAGAGCTTAAAGCGGTAAAATAAGCTTCAAAAGGTCAGTTAAGACTGCGACAAGCAGAAATCGACGATATTACAACTACAAAAAAGGTGTCATGTCGCTCATCAGAAAATACGTAATCGGTGTAAAGAAAGCCACTGATAGAAACACAGAAGGACGAAACCCATAAGAACTACAGTGATCGTCCAAAATGCTAGAATTATAGAAGAATAGGTAACTCAAATCGAGATTATTCCTCAAGAGAACGAAATCCAAAATGTTAGAAATGTGAAAAAACTGGCTGTTATGCTCGAATCTCCAAGAATTAGAGTGGTCACCCGAAGTGCTGGAATTGTAGAAGAATTGATCACCTAAGTCAAGATTACCCCTCAAATAATACACGATCTTTCGGCGAAGATAGACGATAGTCGGAGAGACAGATATCACGAGGATTACAGGGATTGCACGAATATGACTTCGATATCGAGCATCGCTCAGGCAAATACGCCAACGCGCTATCCCAGATAACTTGCGTGGATGATGAACTACAACACTACGTGCAAACATTGTTTATCTGCGGATAAGAATAAAGAACCGACATCGATCTGTTGTAATCTAACCTATCTTAGGATGATCAGGATTTAATCGAAGGCTAGAGAAAATATGAAGGTATTGGCCTAATAATGAAATGGAAAGAAGCTGGAACCTCAAGGTCATTGTGGACAGATGTGAGTCATCTAAAGGTAGACAACGAAAAGTGTGGGAGAGATAGATCCAAAAACAAATTTCAAGTGGTATTTCCAAAGAACAGAGTTTCAAAAGTCTTAGAAGCAATCCATGGCGAAGGACATCTCGGTGTTTCGAAGACTCTAGGGAACGTATGCGAACAATGTTATTTGATAAGAAGAAGAAGCGAGGATGAAGACTGGTGTATGAAATGCCCAAAATGCGCCGACAGTAAGGAACCGCAGAGGAGAAGTTGCCATTTCAGAGAATCGCAGTCGACGTAACAGGACTATTTCCAGCGACAGTCTCCGATGACTCATACATCTTGGTAGTCATTGATTATTTTAGCAAGTGACCTGAAGCATATGCGATATATACCGACTCAGGAAGCACAAACCGTTGCTGAAAAGCTTATCAATAACTGGATAAGCCGATAAGAAGTACTATTGGAATTGCATTCCGATCATAGCAAGAACTTCAAGTCAGCTTTGTTCAAGAAGGCCACTGAGCTAGCGGGCATTACAAAAACCAAGACTACATCCTCACATCAACGCTGATTGAATGATTTAACGCTACTCTAGAAAACAATTTAAGGAGCTTCGTCAACGAGTACCGAATTAACTGGGACCGAAACATACCACTATTCGACTTAGTTTATGGATCCGCCATCTATGGCACACCTGGGAGAGCACCAACCAGCATTTTAATTGAGAGAAAACTTAAGTTGCTAGCGGACATGATATTCGGTAATCCTGGAGACTCTACAATACCTACAGATGAATACTGCGGAACAACTTGAAACCATCTATAATGCTGTGCGTACAAAGCTTCAATTTAAAAGTGACCGCATGAAGACCATATACTATCGACTAGCCAATTCTGCTGGGTTTAATGAGGACGACAAACTATGGTTGTATAATCCATCAAGGCGGAAGGAACATTTTCCGAAATTACAATAAGTTTGGATTGGTTTATACACCGTTAATCGATGAATCAACGACGTTGTTTATCGAATTCAGAACAGAGTCAGCTGCTATACTAATTGCCACAAGGTCGGCAGGGGAATTAGTACGAATTGGAGTTACGAGGCGATTCAAAGCGAAAATGCGACAGAGTGTTATCATTATATCTAGTGCTGAAATAATAATTAATTAGTAACAATGGTGTTGATTAAAAAGTAAACAATTAAATAAATTACTCAGTAGTGAGGATGTTGTTTGATTACGTGACAGTATATTGTATTGCATTGTATTGACTCATGCATTTTTTCTTATTTGTCAGAGTAGATTAAGTATGATTGACGATGTTTATACTATAATTAGTGTTTTATTATTCTAACGTTGTACACTTGTATGTATGCAGTCAGAAGTTATTTCACTAAATCAATGTATCACTGTCATATCACGATTACGAATATAAAGTCAATGCAACGATCGAATTATACTTCCTCAGCGGCAACAGTAGAATCAGTGCAGAGCGGCAGTACTAAGATTAAGAGAAACCAGTAATTATACACCCTCCACAACGTTTTAAAGCTTGTCTTCTAGCACGTTATTCGAATTTCGAACAATTTTT